ATATCCTTTATTCCTTTGCTTTATGTTCCACCTTTACATAGAGGTTGAATGAATCAATTTTTTTTTCTTCTCTTTTTTGCTTCTTTTAACTAAAGATTTTTGATTTGATTTTACAATTTTTTTTTTTTTTTTTTTTTTTTTTTGTAAAGGAAAATTGCTATGTCTTTTTATGTTTTTATCAAAATAGTCAATAATAGATTGAACGTAAATAATTTATAGCTCAAATCGAACATTAACGCGTTTAATGGAAAAAATGATACTCGAAGATTTAGTTGAAATATTTTGGACTTCTTTTTGTCCTTACCAATATTTTTAATTCATCAATAATAAATATATATATATAAAAAATTTCGCACACTTACTTTAAAAAAATGACAACACTTAAAATTTTGCGTTAAAAATGTTTGCAAAAAATTATTTTCTTACAACTAATATTTATTTTTCAACGTTTTCGTTTTTGACATGTTGAAATATAACAAAAAAAGAAAAATGTCTAAATAAACTTTAAAAAAAAATGTAAAAGACAAAAAAAACCTGTCAATTTCAATAATATTTATTTCATGGAAAATATGATTGTTTTCGTCAGCTAACGTGAGTTTTTATACTTCTTAACAAAAGATATACACATATTTTCTTACTTCGTAGATAAGTTGTCTGGAAAAGTTTTACTTTTATGCGATTGTCGTAAGGCCTCCTTAATCCTTTCCTATTGCGAATATACTTTAGCTTACGAAGCTTCAGAAACAAATCGAACGAAATGAAATATCGAGAAGGGCGGGTTTGAGTCAGATGCCTATAAATTATAATAAAACACAAGCATGAAAGCACGTTAGAGAACTACTTTTCACGCCCGCCCTGAGAATCTCTTCTTTTTGACATCTCGGAAGAAGATTGTGTTTCAGGTGCCAGTACACTTTAGCGCAAGTTTCCCCTAAACGTTCTTGTGTACGAGTTCATATAACATTCAAGAAGAGAAAGCTCTATAACAGATTAGTCATTCCGGTTTCGGCAACGTCTAGAAGAACCATTATTCTGGCTATGCATGAGACCGATCATAAAGCATTTTATATCCATTTGCCACACCCACAATAGCCGAAAGGTATTTGTTTTCATTTAGTTGTATTGATGAAACGTAAAAATCGACATAATTGCATGTAAAGTTGCTTCGCCAGTAAACCTAATTCGATAATCTATAAGTTCCACATTGAATTGAACATCAAAAATATTTACATTTAATAAGATTATCGGAAACTGTAGAGTAAAATGGTATACGAATCGATCTCACTGAAAGCAAACCACTTACAATTCTTACGTATAATGACAAAACAATTTAAAACTTTGCATTGAGACTAGACCGACTGTTAAATATCCTACGGCGTCTAATATAGTTTTTCATTTCTTTTCACCCTAAAAGCTTATTTTGCCAGGAAGACGTCTTTTATATTACATATTAGCCCTTTGGCTTATTCTTATAAGAACGACAAAGGGAGAGAGAAATATTACAATGTGACGCGAACAATGTGAATAGAACCCAATTCTCTTTAACCATCACTCCCTCTCTGGACTGAAACATATCAGTTAATCTGAGATTAGAAAAATATTATAAAAATTACGGCATATGTGTATGTGACGGTTTGTTTGGGCTGATTACTACATGGTACGTGGATTGGCACTAATCAGACAAGCGGACATATGCACAGACATACTAATAATAATTCGAAAATTCATCCTGAATCAGTCAGTGTAGTAAAGAGAGCACTTGCTTCAACTTTTTCCAAGTTTGGAATACATCTGAACAAGTTTAAGTAGCCCTTACACATACGCACACATATCATAATTTGCGTAGATTACAATTACCGCAAATAGAATAGTGGTGAAATACTTGCCACCAACTTTCGCTATGAATTTATTTTGAAAAATAACAAAGTGAATAATTTGCGAATTTGTGTTCCCTTAAAGACGTCACTAGTGTTGATATTACGTAGAGTTGAATCTGTGTAATCGAAAGTTAAAATGTTTGTTCCTAACCGTCCAACAGAAACAATGGAACCTTTCTAGCAAAATGACGTTTGGAAATTGAAGAAACTGGACGTTTTTCAGCCCTTGTTTATTTGTAAATCATTGGTAAGTCATTTCTAACCTCAACTTCGTGTCGTTGCTAAGGCTTTGGAGAATACCAAGGAAGCAAACGGGAGTTGTTTACCCAAGAGAATCAAAAGTTTCTTATTGTATAGGTATTTTGCAAGGGATCTGTTCAATAGATGTTTTATTTTAAATTGACTTCTAAGCACACTGCTTAAATTGACTTCCTAAGATGCTTGAAAGCTTGAATATCTTTTTTAAATTAATATTAATCTTGAAATAAATGCTAAACAAATTACTTTTGTTGCTTAAGTTATTTTAATGAATTTTATAAGTTTTTATAGTTTATTTTTATTTGCTAAGACATGACATCTGTGATACAGTTCCCTTTGGGGGACGATAACTTCGTTTCTTTTCATCACTTTGCAATAACATTTATTTTTTACATTTTGCGATAAATTGCATCATTAATTAAATGAATTAATTATTATTATTTAAATGATAGCAATAAATTCTAAGACTAAAGTCTTAAAGCACTAGGATCTAAGTATATCGCCCTTATTGAAGCGACGATTGATTTGTCGGTCGAATTGCTTTGCCTATTCGGCCACTTAAATGCATTGGGATAGATTTTAAATTAACCATGAAATAAAAAAAAAAAAAAAATAAGAAAACATGTACAAAGTAATTTGAACCAATTTACTCTGAATATAGACATATGCGAAAGAAAGAGGTGGCGCACCTTTTCCTTTCTATATTTGTTCTAAGTCGATACTTGAACACTCTGCGCCTGTGGCTTGGAAGTACAGAAAGACTTATCACAAAATTGTGTTAAGAATAAATTTGAAAAGAATGCCATGCAATCCAAATTTGGGGTAAATTTACTTTCACCATAGTATAAAATTACGAGTAGACAAATCCAAACGTACAAGAAATCTAATTAATGGACTTACAAACGCTAAAAATGGTGGTGAGCTGAAAAAATTGACGACAAATCTTTTTTCTTTAAGTTGGCTTCGATATCCGAAATTTGACTTGATATACTTTGTAAGAGTAGTTGGAAAATCATATGTTCACGGCGATAAGGGTAAAATGTTTCGATTAGAACGACGTAAACAATTTAAGGTTATATAATAAAAAGTGCTTTAAAAATTTGTTTGCGACCTAGCATTCACGTTATTTTGGATCACAATCAAAATGAATGCCATGGCGTTCGTGAACGTGTTAAGCGAATGGGCTGGCGGACGATGTGCACTCCTTATTTTAAGCTACATAATTGGCTATGGGTTACGCGGAATTCGAAAATATGCTTTTAACTGACTTATCGATCCCTTAAAAATTTTCTTGAAAAATGCTTGCTTTCTCTCCATATCGTCACTTTCTTGCTAAGCACTTAAGAGCCGAAAAGGCAAACGTTATGGTCACTTCACTGCTGTATTTGAAGGTACCTAATGAAAAATCTATATGTATTCATATCTAAATATATACGTATCAACATATATATGATAATGAAAAAGTAAATATTCGCTGTGCATTCTGATAGTGTTATTATTGTTTCTATTGACACATCGTCAAAACATCAACATATGCTTGATTGCTTTTAATCTCTTTAATATCTCTTTAGTTTCTATTGGCGAAGAGACTTGTGGAAACATCTTTGTGATTAGGGAAAGCAAGCCAATATAAGCAAATTGTGTGTGAACATATGTAGTTTGTATGTACCTCTTCCACCTTAAGCAGATCTTTGCCCGAGAAAAATGCTTGATTGGGCTTAAACTCTGCTCGCCCATAACTCCCAAAAGCATTTAGGTGATGACAAGAATCGTTTTCTAACATCTCAAAGAGAAATTTCCAGAACAGCTAAAAACGCGTAACATAAGGGTATAGAGTTAAGAATGACTCCAAGCCAATGACTCCTTACAATCTTTGACAAGCCAATCGAACTGAAATTTCTTTACGACTTTTTCGCGTTCACATGCAAGTGATTGATCAAGATTTTCATTGCAAGAAGCAATTTTTTATATTCTCTTCACCAGATTAATGCGCTATTAAAGTAACGCAATGAATCATTGTTTAATATTGACTACATTGACTGTAGCAACAAAGCAAAAAGTCTTCGTAAACACATGCGTTGATCTTAAAATAAATCGGCCAATCAATCGTTTGATCGACTAATCTAATGACATTTAAATTGAAACGTAAAAAAAAAAAAGAAGAAAATAAGAAAAAGAAACGAAAAAAAAAAGCATTTCTTTAGCTCAAACATTTAATAGGTCAAAGAAATGAGTTATTTTTGGAAGCCTGCCTTTTCAATGCTACATGCAGCGTAAATGACAGCGTAACCTGTAAGTTTCCAATAAAACAAAATTCATATAATCATCAGCATACATAGCTTTCTCCAGTCAGCATCTATATTGAGAAAGGACTAAATGATGTCGATATGATGTGATTGCCTTGGAGTCTCGGTATTGTAAATACGATTTTATTTCATAGTCAATCTAAAAAATATTAAGCCTAAAAATAAAGATTAACTTAGCTAATCATATCAGCTTATGTGAATATAAAATTCAAGAAGGCTCAATACTTTTTAGAGTAACTAAAATGCGTTAAAATGCATAACAAAGAACAACAACATGTATGTATAACAACAATAAAGCAAGTAACGCGTATGTGTAACAAAATATTTGAAACATTCTCAAAACGAAGATTAACAAGCAAGGTTAACAAGTCATGCGTATAAAGGAGAAGATATTAAAAAGAAAGTAATAATAATAAAAAGAACAGTCATTTCGCTTTTGGAACAATATAGAAATATTAAGATATAGAAAATGCAATTTTTTAAATTAAAAAACAAAATTTAATTATTATTTAATTTTTTTTTTTTTTTTGTTGGATTTTCTATAAAAACTAATACTCACATATAATATACTATCAACACACAAAGAGTAAATAAATTAATTTAAAATCGCTGATAATTTTGTTTATCGCTGCCAAAGCTCAAAATACTCTGTGACGCTTTACGGTTTAAATGAAACGTAATACACAGTTTCTGCTCAGACAACACAACAATTACAAAAACACTATAGAGAGACGTATAAACGTTATTGTTTTCTTTTTTCCTTTTTTCTTTTTTTTTTTTTTTCTTGTCCAAAAATTTTTTTCAAAAATCCAAAATTGTTTTAAATATTATTTTATATAAATAATCACACACACACACAGGCGTTTACTACAACAAACCCATCAAGGACTTGATCATGTAATTAAAAACACAGTGTAGACGTACAACCAACGAACGAACGTATCAATGATTTACCAAAAAAAAAAAAAAAAAAAGAAGAAAATTAATAAATAAATAAATAAATAAATAAATATAAATACGACGACACAGACTACAGAAGAAAACGTTAGAAATCTTATCAAGACAAAAGACTCTGACAAACTGAACGAAGCATATTACCAGTCAAGTGATACACGGACCACCACCACCACCACCATCATCATCATCATCATCATCATTGCCGTCGTCGGCATCATTATCATTACTATGTATTATATATACTTCGATTAAGAGGCGTTGGTGTGTGCTGCATTAAAAAAAAACGAAATTAAGATTATTTACGAATAAATAAAACCAAATGAAAATCGATTATTTTCTACTGCAATAACAACAAAAGTGATAGTAGCAACAAGAGTGCCTATATTCAACGCTTTATAATACACTAAAACTAATGACATTTAATTTATACCGTCTCGCATTAAACTAACAAAAAGTTCCTTATTCGTTATACAGAAGTACACAAATTGTGCGCGTTGCACGGCCCTAACACTGTATATTCTTAGAGTTTTTATTTTGTATCTGTTAAACGAAGATCACTTGTTATCAGTATTTGGTGATTTACTGACTGCTAATCGCTTAGTCTACCGTACATGATAAAGAGATATTTTATTTATTTTTATTATTCTAATTGATAGATAATACTTGTATATAATGATATGTATGAGAATAATACATAAAATAATAATTACGATAGCGTTTGTTCCGTTTTATGGGGATTTCATCGTGCGAAAGGTCATTTTTAAAATTTGCACCTGCTTAGTAATAGTAAAGCACTTTTGTTGTCGGCATAAGGTGAGAAGGCCTCTGATAGCCTCTGATATTTTTACAGCGAAAGTTGCGTATTTCCATCACACATTTAAAGAGCGAAATATCTCGTATGGCTGGACAGTTATTGCAAACAAAAAAAAAATCAAAATTTGATTTTCAGCGTTTCTCTAACTGTGATTATTTTCATAATATTTGAGCGACCAATCATGTTGCTTTTGATGTATCAAAATGAAAAACTTATTTACAATTTTTCAACTTTCGAGCCGAACTGTACTACCGCGGTTGTAGCTATAATACAGTTGGATTGAATAGACAGACGACTGCACTTAAATTAACTTTTATCGTTGCTTATGCTATACTATGTGTAGATATGAGATGTCTAAGGTCTGTATATAAAGTAAACATCTAGTCTTTCAAAGTGTTTCGACTGACTTGGTAGAGATCGCTTTGGAGTTCTCAGACACTTTCAAAACCCATGTTGTCCTATTTATCAACTCCTTATTTAAAATAGAAGTAAAACAAGTAACGGCAATATAGTGGACCAAGGCCCATCGTTAAATTTTTTACACCACTTTAGAGTCATTTATATAACAACTTTTACACGAAGTGGCCAAAAAGGTAGTCTGGTCCGAATTATATCCAGTAGCGTTCGTCCTTGGGCCAAAGTCCGTCCCTGAAATATCTCAGATATGACCGCCTGCAGGTTGAATTCAAGAACACTAGACGGACAGACAAGCGGAGATTTATTCAGAAAATCATTCTGATTCGCTCCATATAATAAAAAATGGATTAATCTCGAGTCCTCCTGTATATTGCATACATCATCACAATCTTTATATTCCCTACCCTTAGCCTTATAATAAAAGATGGATTACTCTCGAGTCTTGTTGTGCGTTGCATACATCCGCACAATTTTCATAGACCTTTTTATCAGAAGTGGTGTAGATTCTAAATTTAATATAATTTCGTTAACTTTACAAAGCGATTATATCTTTGCAAGTGTTATGTATATTTTAGCTTTATTTTGATGTCCTTTTACTTTCGATTTGAAAAACTGAAAAATGTAACTTTTGTTAATCTGTTATACGAAAAAAAACGCTGGCGCAAGTATATTACATATGAGAGAGATCACATTGCGTTAGTATTTTTCAAGACCTCATATACCTATAAGCATATTGGAAGACGATATCTGACTGCAACTACGCTTACATGTATCCCACAAATTGTTACTATTTACGTCGATCGTTAGTAATATGTTCAGAAGATCCTCTGTTTATATGTCGCTGTGGCCAGCTTGCGTGGTTAATTTAGTAACATTGCGCTGAGCTTTCAATTTTTTTCACTAAACGCCAAGTTCTAGTAATGGAAACGTTGCTGTGTGCTGGGAAAAATCTTCCAGGTATTATATTCTCCCAATATGATATTTCACTTATTGTCGTTCTAAAATACCGAAAATTTTCAACTCGTTAAGTGCCTTACATCCATAGGAGATCGACGAATTGACAAAATTTTTTTTTTCTTGCCAAGATTCTATTACTCTTAACTTATTTATGTGGTAAGCAACGCACAGTTGGACCTTATTATCATATAAAAACTCGCTCGCCAAGAGACCTTTATATGGAAGCAGGTACTCGTAAACAGACCCATCCAGTCCAAACACATCCCAACGTATTTATACATCGAATTATATATCTCGACCGATTTTCATCATAATATTCTAAAAGTTCAAAGTAGTGGAAAAATAAAGGCTTATTTGATGTTAGAATAAATACTTAGAAGGGGATCTATGAAACAATTCCAAAAAAAATTCCGAATTTGTGGTGACCATTTTCTGATCCAAATGCACTTTTCTAGCGATCCTTATCATGAATTATTGAAAGTTATTTTGATTACATAAGGGAGCGGTTTACTCAAATGAGGCGTTATATGGGATGTGATCGTGCAAATGGTCCGATCCAATTCATTTCCTATTATCTTCCGTTTAAACCAAATCAGTTTGTCACAATACGTCAAAACTTGCTATATAAATACGGACAGACAGAGAGAAAAGTAGGTGGTTCTAAAAACGATTTGGGATCGATTGGTACAATGCACGCTGGATTTGTGTTAATTCCGTTTGCGTGTTAAAAAGGTTAATACAGAAACCTAGCGTACCACGTATACGAAGTGTCGTAGAGCATAAAATGGCAAATTATTAGCTTTATGAAGCTTCTAGCAATGCACAGTAAACGCAAACTTGACTTCTTCGTGTACTATCAACAAATATTGAATGCATTTGGGTATTAATTTCTTAACAATTAAAGGCATAGGGAACAAGTGTAGTAAGGCGGCAATAAATAATAACCACATGTAGAACAATTGCTAAACAACGCAACAACTAACGGAATACACAAGCTTAAGTAAAACTACTTTCACAATTGTTGGCCAATTTCGAGTTACCAATGCCTCATTTTGTTTCTGCTCCTATTTCCGTTGTTAGTGGTCTTATTTTCGTTGTTGCTATGCGAGCGCGGAGTGCGCTTTGTTTGTTTATCTCATTCATTGTAGAATATAATAGCGGTTGAAATTGCTGACTCTTGTTTACTCCGGTATAGCGATGATATGTTGTAAGCACAAATGTATTCATTGGTTTGTCGTTATTTGTGTTCTATTGTCGTCTACAAAGCATTGTTTTTGTGGTTGCAGTAAATCCTTTAACAAATATTTTTTAGTGAATTCATTTTAGACGGTTCTAAGCTTGCTATTTTTGCATAGTAAAATAAAGATTTCAGTAAAGGCTTCATTTTATATGTTCTGCAGCAGTTTGTGTGACACAAAAAAGTAAATAAACAGAAAACAACGGCACAGAATAGAAATCACAGAGCATTAAAATGAAAGGGAGAAACCCGCTCCTTCGACTAGAGAGTTCACCAAAAGGGAGAATCGAATCACAATCAAAAACTGCGTAGGTTATAAAAATTTGAATAACAATTTTATAGATTTCTCTCTTCGTTATGATGTCACACATAATCACAAAAATGTTTGTTAAGGAAGAAAGATTTGTTTTTCTTTTTTTTTTTTTTTTTTTATTTACATTTTATTTACATTTTCTCTTTATCATCATTAACAGCGGCATTAACAAGTGGTTGTATTTAATTCCTGCATATAAGAGAAGATTTCGTTTGTTGAGGAAAACGTTAAACACAATTTGTGGTTTATTTCATGGTAAACAAGCTGTACGTAACCCTGTCCAAACTTAATGACCTTTTAGAGAGTAACCTGTTACGGTGGTAGTGTGTAAATGCGACGATAGGTAAATGCATGCGGGGGTTAAGGTAAGCTACGAAGGCTCAGATCGGCTTAGCACGCATCTTAGATGCCCTTCAACTAACCTTGGAATAGTTTTTATTTAAACTTCTTTTTTTTTCCTTCATTGCCGCATGCGTTAAGAAAGCAAGAAAAAATCTTTGGGAATATGTTTATCTTATCAATTTTTTCTTGACTACTGTTATAAGTGATGATTGCGAGCACGTTTCGCTAACAATGACGACCGATTTATAGGGCATGCAATAAAAGCCAGCTTAGCAGCTCTCATCTTATGTCTCACGACAACTTCAGTGCCGGTTACACCTACATTCCGGTGTAAAAAGTGAGGCAAGCAAGCGAAGTCATCTAAGGATTCTCAACTGTCTACGCATATTACAGAAATATTTAAAGAGTATTCCCACAACTTCCTAATAAAAGGCCGGCCAAAATTTGTCTACAAAGTGATAATATACGTTAGCATGAGATTGGTGGACAGAAAACTTGTTTAGAGAGTTGCAAGATTTTCAAAATACTCAAGAAAAAGAGAAAGAGTTAGCATCAGATAAGTTAGAACCATTCGTTTCACAAATTCGTCGGGAACAATCAGGCGTTACCAAGAGTTTGACGAAATTAGCATGCGGAATGATACGATAACATACATCCGTGGTGGATATAAAAAGTACTTTGTGGTCAGTTTTAGACATTATTACATTTGTCTAGCCGGCTCTTTTAAAAGCGGCTCTAAGCTGTTTATGTAAGGAATTATTTTGTGAATATTTTGAATCGATAAAAGGATTTCGCTTTAAAAAAGAACATAGTTTAGTTTTAATGGATTTGTTGTTTAAAGTCAAATATAGTTAATGGCTGGTATAAAATAAAGGAATAAATTAAATCTAATTTTTCCAATTTACATATAAAATCCCTGCACAATTTACCGTCGGTTGCTTGATTTCGTACATGC